TATTTTATGGTTCATTCATTCTAATATGCATTATATATATACATTCACATAATATATCTTTATTATTCTCTCAACTTCAGACCACTGTAATTAATTAATAAACCTTTTTCTAACCTAGTTTCTGTTCTGGATTCTACTGTGGCAGACACCCCGACGAGATTGCATTAGCTTGGTCACGGTGTCTCTTGATCCCAAGCCCGGAGTTGCCGCGAGTCAATAACCAATTCTCGTACCCTTGAAAAGATGTGCAACTCTTGTATACTCAATGTTGAATTTCTTTTTTTTAATGAAATTTCATTAGAGGTTTGGTTACTAGCTCTTCATATAGTTTAAAATAATAATAATAAAGTTATTTGGTCAAGAAAGAAAATAAGTTTTATTTACTGTACAATAATATATATATGAAACAAATGACGATTAAAACTAAAGGAAAAAAATTTTATGGTTATCGAATTTCAAAACTAAGTAACATTTCACTGACAAAATATTAAAATGATTTTTAAATATTACGTTAAAATTTATATTTTAATGACTTAAAATTATTTTTTTTAAACTTTAGACAGGATGGATTATGAAGGAACATCAATTTAAGATAATATTGCAACTAAATAGCACATTAAAAATTGAAAAAAAAAACATATTTGATTACGGAGACAGATGATATAATTATTATATAAAAGACGAAAATTTATTTCGTTGAAATGGAGCCAGTTCAAACCCATAGTGTGTACGCGCGATTCCACTCTTTTCATAACTTCTGCCATCATAACTTACCGTGGAACTTTCCATGGGAGATAATATGTTCGGGTGAGGAAAAAATACTGAACCTCTTCTGTGGAAACGTGATAGTTGATTCCAACCATTGTTAATTTAAATGTAACACTAAACATTAAAATGTATGTTTCTTTTCTTTGAATTTGCTAGCAAAGTATCTGTTTATACGATGCTTAACTATTTTACTTTTGTTTAAGTAATTAATAACATCGCCATAGGTATTTAAAATAATCGATCGACAAATTGAATTTGTTTCCTTGCTTGTTGCAGTGAGGATTGAAATGTTCTTGAGGGCGAGAGGAATGACCGTATAAAAGAAAAGTCTGTATGATTTTACAATATCAATCTGCCACCTGGCATTACTTAGCTTCCAACGAATGGATGACCTTTCTCATCTCTAAGAGCCAAGCTCTCCGAATCCATTAACTTTACCCTCATAGGAAAGACCTTTCTTCTTTCTCAATTCCTTCAGAATGATATCCATCTTATCTTATTTTGCATGTTCTATGGAATATTAAATTTTATATATTTTTAAAGGAATATAGTCTTTCTTATGGTTAGTGTTGTCCAAATGCAAGATTAATACGAGTCCTTGTCTAGCGGACTCAGTTTTGGACTTGGTCTTGAGCAAGAATCTTGCAATTACCTACTAGCTTATTACTATTTATTAAACATATTACTTTAGATCATTGAAAAATACTGCATAATAGGTACATTTAAATGTTTTATTTACATTAACAAAGTAAAGTCCAACCAAATTAATAAAATAAACTTAACAATACATTAAAGACATTTTAAATAAAGATAGTGGTAGGTCCCCACCTTGGAATGGAAGAGCTGATGAATAAAGACAATCTATACAATGTCAAAGATTATTTAATGTTCACTCACATGATTTTCATATAGATTTTACACTATTTTTTTTTCAATTTTATTATTAACATGTACATTAAAAATAACACAATTAAATTAGACTAATTTTCCTGATAACCGACCAGAGAAATTATTAGAGTACAATTTCTTTGAACTAAAGGAATGCAAACGGGCAAGTAAACAGTTATTAAAATCAGTTTAAATGTGTATACCAATGTGTGTGTGTACCAATTCTTTACATATAGTAACTAAAATTGTTTAGTATTAAAAACTATTTTGCCTTAATTTTTATTTATAAAAAACTCTTTTTAAAAAACTTTTCAATTGTCTTGGTCTTGCTAGTGTTGCCAAAAATCGGTCTTGGTCTTGCACTTTTCAAGACCAAGACCAACACCGCCTATCTGCTGCAAGACCAAGACCAAGACTGGTAAAAAAAAATCGATTTTTTGAATAAAAATTGAGGCTAAATAGTTACTAATACTAAGAATACTAAGAATTTGTGTAACCAATATACTTTTGCATTTAACTCTTCTAATTTTTATTCGGACTTAGTTAGGTTTTTCATATCTAAAAAATTACAGTAATATCTGCTGGTAATAAGCTGATAGGTAACTACAATACTGTTACGAGAGTCATGCGCAAGAACAAGACCGAATTTGCAAGACCAAGACTCGTCTAGGTCTCGCATTTGGGCAACAATAGGTCTTGCAAAGTGCAAAGATTTTTTAAAATTCAAACTTTATTGGTGGATGTCTTGTTATTATTTTATTAGGGTACTCTAATCTAGATTCTTCTAAAAACGTCCTTAATCTTATCGAGAAAATACCTATTAATAACATCTGTTGTTGCAAAAACAGTTGTTTCTTTTTATTAACAAATTGATTTATTAAATTATTCTATATATTTTAAGTTAAATGAAATAAAAATTATTTATTTCAGAAGCAATATTCTACTATTAAATCATTACATAGTTACAATTAAACATAAAAGACAGATATATGTTTTACAGAAATAACACCTGAGTAAGATTTAAAAAAAAAAAATCGATCCATTACTAAAACCAACATAAATAATGCAAAATTTGTTTCTTTACACCATATATTTTTTTTGCCTAATAAAAATTCATTATAATACTGATTTTCGCAATTTTACAAAAGTCATGAAATAATCGATTCAAATATGTTATACACATGGAACAAATCTTCACTAATAATTAAAATGATATAATTTCATGTTTAACTCTAGTTAAAATAACCTACATGGTATAGCAGTTAGATCTTTTTCAATCTAATTACTCACAGAAGTTAACTATGTTAGAACTAATTGTAAGTTAAAACCATGCCACATTGCTGATTACGTTATTTTTAACTGATGGTACTAAAATTCATTTGGAGGATAGATAATTTTATTGTAAGTGATTTCTGAATGAATACTCAATTTGCCATAATTTGTTAGTTTGAACCATTTCAAAACAATGTCACGATTTGTTTCAAATAGTTGAAGGAAAATGATATTTTAAATAATTTACGTAAAATAATGTGAGCGAATAATAATTTACTAATATTTATTTTTAAATACCTATTTATGTAGAATGATATTAATAGATTAAAAAATAATCTGTATTTAAAATTCGAATTGTTTCTTGTCACAGCAGAAAATAGTGCCAGTTTGCCGACCACTGATCTAGGACTTTGTGAATAAAAAACAAGGATGTTGGTTTTTTCATCGCTAGGTTAGTTTGAATAAGATGCTGATTCGAATTAATTATAAGTGTAGGCAGCAATTACCCATGGGGATTAGTGGTCCTAGGTATTTAAGTATGAGACTTACAAATATTTTATTTTATTTTCATCTTTCTTGCCTCTCGGCAGAAATTAAGGAAGAAACTGAATTTAGATTCGAAAATGCACAATTTAGGCGAGGAATATTCTGTAACAAGCATCAGAAGCAAAAAAAAGAGTTGATCGTTACGGCTATGAGTTTTAAGAAATTACTAACTAGAATAAAACATAACTGCTGTTCCATTGGGGTGGCCGGCTCCACAAGTATGATAATAAAATTGTTTGCTTGCTTGTTAATTAAGTTTCAGATATCAGAACTATTTTTTTTTTTTTGTTATTTATTCAGAAATATTACAATCTGTCACAATTGAGGACATTTATAATAGTGTTACGAGAGCACATTCACACTCTATTTATATTAAATAACACAGAAAATGATAATTCTAAAAGTAAATGTATATATACCAAAGAACTAAACTAATCAAAATAACAACTAAAAAACATGGATACTATGGTTACAGAATCCATTCACTCAGGAGAACTCCACTCGTGGAAAGAAAGGCAGGACTCTAGGAGATCTCAGCGCCTCGCAATCAGCCGCAAGATATCAGAATTAAGTCGATTATTTGTATATCTGTATTTTTAAGATTAATATTATTTCGAACACTACTCGCATTTCAAATGAGAAGTGGATGGGATTTGATTGAGTTCATATTTAAGTTTCCTTGGAGGAGGAAGGAGAAAGATTATTATATTGATTTCTGATCACCCGAACGAGCCCCGACTGCTTTCCGAGAACAACTGGAAGAAGAAACAAACGTCAATAAACGATAATCAATTAATCTCTTTTTTTTTTTAAATCAATTTAGTATTTTATAAAATATTACATTTTTTAAATCTAAATGTGTAATTTAAAAATACAATTTTGACAAAACAAAACTAAAAAGCAAAATATTCTTTATTTGTTATACATGGAAATGTTCCAATATAGATATTGAAAAAAAAACTGAAAATGAAAAAAAAATGACTCGCAGTGTTTTTGGAACTCACTTCCCATTTTCTCTACTTTTGGCAACTCTCATTGCGTGTAAAATATTATTTTTAAAATTCTTTAATTAGTCAAAATAATTTAGCTAAGCTAAAATATAAAAAAACTGCATCAGAAGCCAAATGCAATCCCTAACGTGACAGCTATAATTGTCACTTAACGCCCCCTGAGGAGTGAAAAGAAGTGAGCTGATCGACCCTAGATGCCTGACCAATTGCCCTCAATAGCTGAGGTCACCAGCCAACGGAACGGGCGACCGAGAACTGAGGAAGGCCGTTCGCCAATGATTCAATCAGTGAAATGACACCAACACCGCACCAACGCTGTTACATATTCAGTTTACGGTTCGGATTTGCCGGCTTTAACCATAACAGAGGGAATGGGAAGCAGTCGCCCAAGAAACTGGCATCCGTTATGCCTCGCTCAACTCTGTTACTTCATCGCGAAACCTATAAAAACAATCCGCTAGGTCCCGCAGAGCTCAATCTCACCCTAGGCGTCGAAGGAGTTACTGCAGCCAAGATATGGATTCAATAATGAAGGTGAAGTTGTATTCAATGATCGTCGACATATATAAGATATATAAATGTGTGGGCGGACTGACGAATGTATTCCTCCAGGTATTGGTGGTATGTGGACTGGCGAATCTGGTAGCGGGACAAGGCAGTTATTACAGCAGCTTCACAGGACCTGTGTCCGGAGCCGTGGACGAGATCCTAGTTGCGGAGCCCGCGGGCTTCAAGAAGAGCGAGCCTACCTACGACTATGTGGTGAGTCTCATAGTCTCCTACTATAAAATAAAACAATAGGATTTTATATAAATATTCATACTGGATTTTAAATAAACACGCATTATAAGAACCAACTACCAACTACCAACCATGTTGAATACCAACTTTTTTTTTTAAATGAGAAAAAATTGCTTTAAAAAAATGTTTTGTCACAACTGTGTACAGATATTTTAGCAATGTACACATCATTTAAAAAAAAAATAAAACCATAGCTGAAACATCTTTGATCCGATTTTCTGCATCTTAAAATACCGAAAAAATTACGTTTCATTTACAAAAAGATATTGGATTGAAAATATACATTTTCACTTTTGTGACAAATAGTCTAATACTCAAACGCAGTAGATGTTTTGAATTAATAAATTCATTTAAAAAATGATCAAAAAACTAAAATCAATTATTAAATAAGCTTTCATAGAATTAGCTGACACGAAAAGTCACTAAATATTAATATCAAATAAAAAGTTCGTGTTTTTTTTTTTCTTGTAGGAGTAAGCAATTTGAGGTAATTTAGTTATTTTTATGAGTATGTATGTCTGTTTATAACAATTTGTAAAAACTAACAGCTAACTATAAATCAAAAAATATATATACAGTGAAACTTTTATTTGCGGGAATGTCATATTTTTGCAAAAAAAAAATACGTGCGTTACAAATAATCATAGTATTTTAACTATTTTCTCACCGAACTTAACTCATTCGAAACACAAGATAAGGTTACAATAGATGCATATATATTTTTATATTAATATTTTCTTTTTGGTGTTATATTCAAAAAAGTTCACGCATATTTCTTTCACGTTATTTCATCATATAAATAAAAAAAAAGAAATAAAAATAATTTATACATATATAATCACAAGTATATCAATATTCAACAATAATAGTAGTTGTTCATCAATATTGCAAGAGAATATCATATATTCCAGTAACCGCTTCCTTTCCTCTATGATATGAAATACATGATTAAATAATGGAACGAGATATTACTTCAAATATATATAAGTATACTTCATAAGAGTTTCAACTATACTAAAAAAAAAAAAAAAAAAGAACGAAAGATAATATTTTTTTAAATTCTATTAGATTCAATAAATACATGTATTAAATACTTTACTCTCTCTGGAAGATATGTTTGGTAACATTGTTTGTTCGCATTTCATTTTTGGATGTATATATATGAAAACAAATTTTAAAAAATATCATAAAATGCACTGGGATATAAGCATTAATTTAGTTGACGAACTTTTAAAAAATCTACTATAAAATTCAATGTTGTCAAAGAGTTGCAAAATTATTATTTTTTTGTATTTAATAGAGATTTTTAAGTATAACTTGATCCGTTTTTCTCAAAATCAATAGTTTATCCCATAGTTCATAGTTGGGTTTCAATTGCCTAAGTTGGTGCCTAACCTTTAAGTAAAAATGTATTATGAATAATAAAAAGGAAATAAACGATATTTTTACATGATTAAAATTAAATTTTGATTATCCCTTAATGAGGTATCTATCATTGATATAATATATTTATCCTTTGCTTCACTATTTTTTTAAAATTCTTTCAATAAAATGTGGAGTTCGTGAATACCGCCCTGACCTATACCAATTACTTCTATAGATATTCGTATACTGTTTAGTTTTATATATATATAATTTCTTAAATATTTCATTCAGCAGTAGAAGATTTTATTGAAACTTACATGGTATGAACGATCAATTTACAAATATAACAAATAATAATAATAAGAAGAAAAACAGTTATATTTAGGTTGTTCATAGAATGTCTCTTTCAATAACTAAAATTTGTATTTAAGTCACGATGAAGTTCATCATGATGAACAGACCGTTTTTCGTTTGTAACTGCTATACGCGAAAATTTACGTTTTGTTTTTCCAACATACTCGGTGTTATATTGAGGTTGTCTCAAGCTATTGAAATCCTCAATCTGATTGTTAAAAACATTTAATAGTGCTTGATCTTAATTTTATTGGAGTAGAGTTAAAAGAAAGCTCTTTTTCCCACAGACAATTTTATGTATGTTAATCTTGATCAAAGCGCGAACAAAACCTATATATATATACCATGGTTATAGACGAAGACTTCGAGAGGGATGGTGAGGGTGGCGATGGCTTCCCACCAATGAAAATAGAGATGCTGAAAATATCGTTTCACCCGCCCAGTATTTCGAAGAACAACCAATTAATCTACAAGAATGAATAAAATATTTAAACTCAATTATGAAAATAAAAAAAGTCGAAGAGATTAGATCGCTCTAAGCTAAGGTCTAGAAGTATGACCGCTAGTATTTTACCACGCCTTAAGTCCTTATTATTTTGTACCGCTTACTTCTTCTTCTGCTTTATTTCTTATATGGCTAGGTCAGGAACTAAAATGAAGAATTCGCTATTTCTTCTCAGGTTCTCCAGGCTTTCATATAGTTTCCTTTCCATTTCAGTTGGGGCTGGCCAGATCACTCTCCTTTGCTGAGAGTAGATCCTGCACGTTTGTAGTATCTGTTCCACATTCTGTTCACCATCACCGCACTCGCCGAGAGCCAATATGAACCTATTGAATAGATGTGATTTGAGCCTGTCGTGCTCCGTTCGAAAGAACATGACCTGCATGAGTCCGTAGACAGCATCTCTGGGGTCGTGAAGTGGATGACTTCTGAGCCGACGTTGGTTAATAATTGATTTATACCGCTTACTTATAGGGATAAAGCTACAAAAATATCGGTTACGCTAAAGCATAAAGTCTTTGGACTGAAAATGCCTTACATCAATTGAATTATTTCTTTTTTAGTTAATTGGTTCTTTATTTTTCCCAAATAAATTCGGATGTTATTCAAATAACCATAGTTGGTCATTTACCAGAGATGGGCAAATGCTATCGAGTACAGTTTATTTTATGTAAATCTAATAACTATTGGGAATTGAATCACTAATTTAGTGAATCGTTTGGGATAAACTGAAGTAGTAATTATATTCTTATGTACTCAAAAAAGGTCAGTATTTACAGTAATATACCTTGGTACTTAGTACTCAGAGTAGAAATTGCCCATATCTGCCATGTACTCAGGGCCGGCCTTAGGGTGGAGCTACCGGAGCAGTCGCCCCGCGGCGCCGACCTGATGGGGTGGGGTGACCGTTGGGGGCGCCGGCTGATATAAAGGGGCGCTTGCTGCTTGTTAGAAATACAAAACGTTTCAAAATAATTTATTTTAGCCTCTCAATAAAGCAACTGTATGTAAAGAAATATTGAATGAAATAAAATCCAAATATTTCATAATATGAAACAGCTTAAGAAGTAAATTAAATTTTTTTGGGGGGAAGGAGATGACGTCATTGTCCGGGGGCACCGAATGCCTAAGGCCGGCACTGCACGTACTTATATAAGTAGCTTGTCACGACTATCAACTCATATTTAACGCAACTGTCATTTGTTATTTAAAGACATTTTTGATGGGTACATTAAACAAATAAATTTTAAAAACTTTTTAAAGATTGACAATTCATGAACGGCTGTAACAAAATAAGAAACATTTGAATTGAAAAAAAAGAAAGAACTTAATACAGAAATTGGGAAATTCTATCCACCCCAAGGAAATTTACTTCCACAAATAGTTAAACATTTTGGTAGATTTATAGAAAAATTGATGTCTTGGAATATTTAAATTTGGTGAAGTCGGGTGCCTACCTCAAGACTCTTTCGCATGTTGCCAGACACCGTTGTATGGGACAGAATCTATTTGCCAGGAGCCGTAATGAATAGTGAAAGATATCCCAATACATTGCCAAGTTTAAAAATAAGTAGATATCAATTTCTAAAACAATCTACCAAGTTGTTTAAGTAGAAATGGAAGAACTTTCCCTTAGAATGAACAAGGTATCCTGATTTCTGTACTATTTTTTTTTTAAATTAAAATAATTTTATTTCGACCTTTTTTGTTTTATAACTATTTACATTAATATTCAACACACTTTAACAAGATCTTAAATATAGTATGATACGACACTAATACAAATGAGAGAATACTTAGAATACGATCAAATATTTTTAGCTCAAATTGTTTCGAAACATTCACGAGATTTCATCCAGTCATTTGAGCCATTTTACTTAAAAATAGCAAATATGATTCACTCGTTCATTCATACCTTTCATGTTACGTCTTGGTTACCTACCGTTCAATGGACAGATTACGAACATTTCATACAACGATTTGAGCATAAATTGAGTCAGTGTTTTTAGCTCAAATCGTTTTAAAACACTCACTGGTTCTCACCGAATAACTTAAACTATCAAACATAAAAATGGATTCAGCTGTTTGCTCGAAAAATCGTTACGTATCTTTTAGCGAACAACCCAAAACACTGAGGGGGATCTCACCGAATAATTTAAAATAGCAAACCGAAAAATCGATCCACCCGTTAGCTCAATAAATCGTTACATATCTGTTAGTATATTGATTAAAAAGATTTTATTCGATAACGGACAATTTTTTTAAGCTTAAATTGTCTAGAAGCATACAAGTGATCTCAACAAAAATTTTTTGTTATAAAACATAAAAATTGTTCCAGCTGTTCGCTTAAAAAATCGTTAAACAGCTTTTAGCAGACAACCTGAACACGCAACCCTCGTTTCGCTTTTCTTAGTCGTGTAATTAATTTGATACTAAGCGAACATCTTAACGTCTTAATTTAATCTGAAGATTATTTATTTATTACATTATTAATTAAAACAATAGCTATGTTAAAAATGTTAAGAGACGTGTTTCTCTGCAAATGGAATATTAACTATCATTAAGTTATGCCCAAATTAATATTAAACCAACATCGTGCTGGAAGATCTTGTCATGTATTTTATCCTTGCAAGTTTGATTTAAATTTACATTTGCTATAATAAAATAAAATATCGATTGCTAAATGATATCTCGCATCTGAAAAACGAATACTTTACTGTAAGAACAAAAACGTTTTTTA